AATAAATTTGTCTAAAAAGAATTGAAGTCAAAATATTTTTATTTAAAGCATCGTTCTCATAACTAAAGGAAATTATTTAAGCTTAATCCAAGTGCTTGACAGGGCCAAATTTACAGCTTGCGGGCCCCCAGCCCCCTAACACGAGGTAGGGATTACATACAGTGGAGGGTACCCTACATCCCTCAGGCCCCCTGATGCTAGGCCTCCTCCAACAGTATGAAAGACGAAGAATCAACGATCATTCCTTTCGTCAAGAATGGTTTGTAGATCGCAGAGGGTTTTGGTTTTGTAGGAAACGTAGCACCAGGGGTTGGGGGGTATTAATACCCCCCCCCCCAGGAATGGAAGATTCAACATTCGTTTCCCGCGGGGATCTGAATGTGTGCTTCCAGGATATCTTCCAGCGTACACTCGTAACGCCAGCAAACAATTCCGGTAACGGTCTCTAAGAATAAACACTTTATCAACCATTCCTGCTTGAGTTTGGAACATTTTTGCAACGCTGATTTAAAAAAAATCATAGACAGCCGACACTTTACTGTTAATTGTGACAATTGAACATCTGTTGTTTTATCATGGCACCCTTGGGTTCGGAAAAGAAGGTTTTTTTTACAAATTGGCGTTTCGACTTGGTTTTTCTCTTAAATTTTCTTATGGAATTTGTAGTTTTGGCTACTCAGAGGTATAAATCTGTGTAAGGGGGTGCCATTTAAAATTTAAAAAAAATATGACATTTAGAGATCAACCCAAAATTTTATTTTTTCGATAAAGTACCTAAATTCCAATTACATGGCACTGGGGCGCTGAACGTACATTAGAGCTTAAGATCTAATTTGATTTACTATTACGTTTAGGGGATCCTGAAAAAGTCAATATCATTCACTGAGGAGAACTTATTTAAAGTGATCAATGCCTCAATAAGTGGGGAAGTTGTGTTACTAATTGCAAAAATGGTATAATTTTTCCTGGTACATTAAGCTTAATTTCTCAAAGTAATTCGGAAGAGTTTAACAAATTATGTAAAACTTTGAAGACAAAAATCGTGGATGCAATGAATCGTCGGGTTTCTAACCCCGGTATATTTAAGCCGAAAGTACTATTTAAGTAATTAAGCTGGGTTCCGTAAGAGATCAAATGTGGGCAATTGTGCGTTGATCTAAAAAACATTACTCGGATGAAGTTTTAAAAAAATGCAAGTTTGATACGCCACTGGAATACAGCACGCCCCTGGTGATATTTTAGAAACATGTCGGCGGTAATTGTGTACAATTTTGCTCTAAGACTTTTTTCGGTATCTTTTATGTTAATGAGAGATCCGAGGGATCTTAGGTGCTACACCCTGTATATATGTAAACCTGTAAGAGGAGTTGTGTCCTCGGACGCCGGAGACATTAAAATTGTATTTAATATCCCCCCCATTCCCCATCCTGTCCATTTCCATTTAGCGATATTTTTGGAAATTTTAACCAAAAATTTTTCTAGTAAAGGCAAACATATCGCATATTACAAAAATTAGATGTGCGCATGCACAGATTGCGCAATTTCAACAAATTTTAATCACAGATCCTTTTACTTTTAAGTAAAGAAAAACAGCTCACATAGCATCAATGCAAGAAAATGCGCCAAAGTTACTCACTTGCTTGTTTTCATATTAAGTGCATAATCCTGAAGTATTTTATTAACTTCAGCAAACGTCGCGGTTTTAACAAAATGTTTCCCCGTTTTTACAAGATTTCTCAAATTGCAAGCACGCGTGGTCATTTATGATCCGAAAACCATTCGATATTTCTCCTCATAATAATTTATGGCAATAGTAGCAGTCGCGGCTAACTTCGTACCGCCTTTGGAAAATCCCATTTTTCTCGTACCCCGTTCCCGTGGGAGTTTGGGGAAGTTCTGTCGGCGTACACCTTAAAACGCCTTCAAAGAAACCTACGTTCTAAATGTCAAGTCTCTTTTCGACTGTAAAACATAAAATCCTATTTTTGTCTCTTGTAAATCTATGTAAAATTATAAAGTGTGACACGTCATTATTTTTCTTTTTTGTCTTCTATCTCATTCCGTAAAAATCCAATATGGTGCCCATAAGTAGTAGTTTGTAGCTTCTACATCTAGCGTGCCATGGAAATTCTGACAAATTCAGATTCCCCGAAAAATGGACACACAGGAGATGCTAAAACCGTCCATTTCCGACCATTTAATCTAAGTAAGCCATTTTCAAAGATTTTTCAAAAATTTTAAATGCATTCGTTTTAAAACGCAACTTTGCCCCCATTTAACCTACATTGTATCTTTCACCGTTGCGGAGATCCCAATGGTGAGTCACGAATTTGAGTCACTATGGTAGGTAGTCATTTGAAGACTGTCCGTTGGGTCATTAACAACACTTGTCCCCCGCTTGCTAGTAAGTAATCTAATTTCGGGTGACACCTTCTGACTCGAAGGACCGATTTTTAAATGAGTATAACTTTTGTTTGAAAAGTGATTTTACAAAATTATTCGACAATTTTGTTCCTCAGTTCATTAAGTATGTACACATCAAATTTTGTAGAAGTTTCTCCATTTTTGTTGTCCGGCCAAGAATTGTAGTAGAATGTATTTTTTCGAATTTTCAAAAACTAATTTATTAAGATTTTCATGTTCAAAAATCCCACAATTTCGTCGAAATCAGAACTCCCACAAAACACTTTGGACCTTTCGGTTTATTTGGAAAATGTACTTGTTTTGATCCCCTCTAATCTCCAATTTTTTTTACAATTTTATATGTAATACCTTTTATCTGGCTATCACACTGTGCACATTTTAAGTATTTTAATGTATTGTGAGTTAACACTTAACTTTTGGTACCGGCACAAAAGAAGTCCACAGCGGACTATGCGTAGATATATAATTTAGAGTCTGCAGAAGAAGCCAACTGGCTCGGTGGCGCTCTAATAGGTGCCATTAATAGAATAGGTATGAATAGTTGGGGGTATATGATCTTCTTACGCGCCGGGTGTACCGTGGTATAATCACATTGTGCACATTTTAAATCCATTGAAGGCTTGTGTCTTAAGAGATGTCATTCAGAATATTTTGCAGATTGTTGCAAAATTGCAATGTGTACATTTTAAATCGTTTGACGTATTGCGTATTTTGAAGCGGCAAGCGTTTATTGGTCATTATTACAGGCTACGTGATTTACAGTTAATCGAAATCGCCAATAGTTCTCGTATAATATTTTTCTTTATATTTTTTTTCGTGTTTTTTTTCGATATTTTAATAGTTATTCTGCTATTCGGGTCGGGGACGAATCCAACAAATCTCGTATTATTAGTATAGAAAAAAGCTCTCGTATAATAGGCCCTCTGATGGTACAAGTAATAAACCTTTCAAAAATATGAACACTTTTTAAATGATCCTCAAGGGATATCAGGGCCATGTCTCCTTCTCGTTTAAAAAATCTGTGGTATACGACATAAATACCAATTTACTGCCATTTAGGTAGGTATACGTGTACCAACCTTACTCGAACTGTTGAAGAATTGAAGGATTTTACAAGAATAGAATATCTTGGTTTATTTGTATTTTTTTACCTTCTCATGTTCTACGCGATTTTGTAGTACCTATATGATACACTACACATTTGTTGTAAAGGTGAAAACGAAAAACGGTTCTTTCTACCTTTTGAACCAATTAATTGTTTTTGTGGATATAACGTCATTTTTTTCCTGGTTAATTCAATGTAGCAATTTTAGCTGATATTAGTTCAATAATCGTACTATATTATTACTAGTATTTATCTTGTTGGAAAACTCGGAAGTATAATTTGCATTACCAGTTTACTTCGAATTACCCACACTTTATTTAGAATGACCGCAGGAAGTACTTCGAGGTACCTACAGTATTTCGAAAGTGAACTTCTCCTTCGGATATAATATTCAAACTTATAAGTAACGCCGAAATTCTTTCTATTATTTTGTAAACTGGTTAATAGGGGCGGTGAAGAATCTCATTTTTTGCAAATACCTCTCTTATAGTTGCATGAATCAAAATGTCCATGCGGATACTTTAGCGACAGGTGTAATAAAACACCTGTCGGCACGCGTCTTCTACACCTGAGTCTAATTAGAGTAGTTCGATCACCTGTCCTTAAAGCACACATATGATATTACCTTTACCTATTGCGGAGACTTAACCGCATTTTTTATTCAAATGAACACACCGCGACAAACTGGAGCTCTTTTTTTACTGAACTTGAAATTTAGGAAACTCAGCTCCGGCATAATTTTATAAAGTGATGCTTCGAACAATGAAGTGCAAAGGCATCCGGTGAGAAACTTTAAATTAACTTTGAGAATACTTAAACAAGTAAAATTTAAATTAAACATAATGATGAAATTTTTCCATATGATTATTTATGTTATACATATTTTATAATTCACTAAAGAAGTCGTTGGTGTTTGTTTTTTTTTTTTTGTACTCTTAGTCTGTACTGTATACGATACACACACTGTGCATTGTTTCGATTTAAATAATTAGCGAAATTTGCAATTCAAATTTGAAATTTATTTTCCACTTACCTGAGCGAATTTTTTACCGATCTTATGTGCAGTCACCGTTGTAAACAAAGTCGAATTTTGGGGCCGGGTGCGAGAAGTAAAAGCAGGTGACCGCCGTTTTTTTAAATATTAATTAAAATGTTCTTGGTTGTTGGTGTCTGCCTTTTGCATCTTCCATACGTTTGTAAGGTTAAACGTAGCGTTAAATAGTGATTTGTTTAAGAAATATCGTCAGTCAACTGAAAACGGGGGACATTATGCTCAGTACATTAAACGTATAGTGGACAACAGACTTCGCACCTCAGTGAATTTAAGGATGACCAGGATTTGAGAAGTAAATTGATTTTGGGGATTTTCGGATTTAGTCGAATCCGTATTTATCGTGAGGGAAAACTAACAAAAACGGCTAAGACTTCAATATTCTTTATATATCACACAAAGAGAATATACATACATCGATTTTATTTACATAGTTTTTGATCTTTTCTTTAATAATTATTACTATACGTGTTGATTTGGTTCATAAAATACTTTTCACGTAATAAAAATGAAATAATCACGAATTGATGGTTTGAACCCATTTTATTTACAAGATTATCGCAGATTACTTCTGGTCCAACCGTTTAAAGAAAATGATCACAAATTTCCACTTAGGCATGAAAAGTATCTTGAATGAACCAGATTTGTCTTTATATTATTATCATGCACACATAAATAGTCACAACTTTTAAACGCGAAGATTGCACATTATGTAATACTCATTATTTACACATTCACTCGCAATAAAAATGTCTTAAAAACATTATCTAACATCTATATACAATACATTACAAACGCGTTCGCAACTTTGTACTCAAAAATTTACATTAATATATACAGGCGTGGTCGCAAAATCGTTGAACAAACTTTATTTATACACAAGAGCTCTTTGTAGAAAAGAAAAACAAACAAAAAATTTACAAATCAACAATAAATATTATACATCTTAAACGTTCCTCGTGGTTTTATTATGCGAATAATGGTTATACTTTGTCTACAAATGCTCAATTTGTTTTGTAATACCCATAAAAGTTTCAGTCGCACTTAACAGCAACTTATCACGTGTATTCCGACCTCCATCCAGCCTGAAACAAAAAATAATTTGGGTTAACTTTTTGGTTGGTCATAAAAAGACTAAAAAGACTTTACTTTCTATATAAATAAAGTGGCTGAACTTTATTTAATTGTCCATAATTTGGATATTTTAACACGCACAATTTAAGAATTATTCAGGGTAAGAGGCCGTAAGAGACACGAAGTCTGCGTATTTTGGGGCCGAATCTAACGCTTAGAAAGTGAAAGAGTTCCGAACACTTTTAGTGCAGTTGCAAGTTTTGCGAGGATGCCATGAGAGGAGAGGATGTTCACGGAAGATTTAAGTTGAAAAAATTAATAAGGCGTTTTTTCTGTTAACCCTTCTGTCTAAAACACAAAAATTTTTCCCATGCCTCTTTAAATTTGTGATTCACTTTCTCCCACAACAGAGGGATTTGAACATCTGATTTAATCAGTTGACACAGACGTTATTGTTCAATGGTAAAAGTAAATATTCATTCCCTAAAAATCCAATGTGGCGCCTATAAGAGATAAGAATGTAGCCTGTAGCTTCTAACGTGTTACGGAAATTCTGATAAAGAGGTTCAGATTCTTCGAAAAAAGTGTCCGTAAAAGGTACGAATGGGATCGTCGATCTCCGACCATTTAAGCTAGGGAAAATTTGACATTTTCTGTGATTCGGTGATGTCCCAATCATTTTCAAAGATTTTTGAAAAAAACGCATTTTTTTTTAGTTTCAAAAAGGATCAACTTTTCCCCACTGTACCTCTCACCATTGCGGAGAATCACCACCCTGTACTTCATTTGGGTTACAAGCTTTCTCATTAAAATCTAAGAGAAAAAAATCACCAATAACCTCAACGTGTTTTTTAAAAATAATATTATAGGACCTTTAAGAATCTTAAAGAGCCTTCAAACCGAGAACTGTTAAGGGTCAAGTTTTTAGAGTCTTTAAGAGTCTCCAAGAGTTATTAAAGTTCTCAAAGAGAATTTTAAAACTTTGAAAAGTCATTTAGTGTAGGTACAAAAGTTTTCGTATCATTTAAAACCGGCTCTTGAAATCCTTGATTATAGGTCTTTTAAGAGTCTCCATGAGAATTTTAAAAGTTATAATAGTCATTATCAGTGTTTAAGAGTGTCTAAAAGCCGAACATTAAAGAACAATAAAAAATCCCCTTAAGGGAATATGATGAAGAGCATGGAACACATTTGAAAAATCGCCTACAGTTTCCCATAGCTTCCAAAAGTCTCAAGAGTCTTGTAAAATACTTGAAGAATCTTTCAGTGTTTAAGATCATTTAAGTGATTTCATGAGTCGCCAAAAAGTTCGAAGAATCCAACAGCTTTCCGGACCCTTTATATTTATTGTCTTTATTAGTCACTAAGAGTTCAAGCTATAAAAGAGCTTTTAAGATTATTTAAAGATTTTAGATTTTCATGTTTCCAAGGGTTTTCCAAAACCTTCATGAATCTTTTGGGACCATTAATAGCCTTCGACGATCGTAGTCTGTTTAAAAAGCGAACCTTGAAAAGACTTTAAGATTCTTAATGAACCTTTTTACGTCATGCATGCCAAGTGACTGAAGTGTGTGTTGTATTCGGGAGGGTGCAGCACCGGATTATGAATTATGATATGTTTAGGGTTATTCTACACCGAAAATCTCTTTGAAAAAGTTGATCAGAAATCAATTATCACTAATAATAATAAAGGGATGGTAGATAACAAATTCAATTCACTTTCAAATGGGTGCTGGAAAAGGGGTTCCAGTCAGGAAGTGTCACTTTGACGCATTCTCTACAAAAAAGTGCAGTTAATTTGTAATGAAGGGGAGGGGGGCGATAATGAAGTTACCTCGACTCCCTAAACTAAATTCTATTACCTATTACTTATATCTACCTCTTGAATTAGATTAGCATTGTGCAGATGTGCAAAAAGTGTACAAAAAATGAAGCACAATCAGATTATATTCCAGAATCCAGCATCCAAACTTTATTTGGGACTGAATTGAATTTGTTATGTACCACAACTTTATTGTTATTACAGAAAATTGATTTCTGAATGAACTGTTTCAGAGAGATGTTCGGTGTAGAATAAACTGTAGCATAGTTTATAATTCATAATCCGGTGCCCTCAACTAGGATTAAAACACATACTTTAGTTCCTTGGCTTTAATGCAAGACATGAAAAAAGTTCCTTTAAAAGACTTTAAGTTCCTAAAGTCCTTTCAAGGTTCGCCTATTAAACAGACTAAGACTTACGAAGGAGACTAATAGGCTCAAGTTCCAGTAATCTTTAAATAATCTTGACTTTTAGAGATTATTAAACACTATAAAACAATCTGGTGAGCTGCTAGATCCTTCGAGATTGTTGGAGACTCATGAAATGAGTTAAAGATCTTTACATACCTTTAAACACTAAAAGACTCTTCAAGCTAAAGCATTTAGAAAGTACTGGAGATTTTTGAAAGCTATTGAAGATGGTAGGCGACTTTTGAAAGGAGTTTGGTGCTCTTAAGTTTTAAATGTTTTTTATTAATGTAATGGCTTTTAAACACTCCTAAAGATTAAAGGCTATTTCAAGCTTTAAAATTCTTTTGGAGATTGTTGAAAACTTTTGGAGACGTCTAGAGCTTTGAAGGTTATATATCCAGAGGTTGAACTTTTAAAGGTTCTTGTTTTTGAAGGCTCAAACATTATTAAAAACCCTGTAAGAGTTTTACAGGGAAGGGAGAATCTTTAGGACTCTACAAACATTTCGACTTTTAAAGATTGTTAAAGGTTCTTAAAATCTGAAAGCGTAATAGCGGCCTTACGGTATTTTAAAGGTGACTCTTAAAGGCCTATAGTCAAGGTTTCTTAAGAATTATAAAAGCTTTTAAATAGAATAAAACTTTTGTAGTCTCTTAAACACTAAATGAATATTAAGGACTTTTAAATCTTCTTGGAGACTTTTCGGAGACTTTTAATGACTATCTTAAAGCTTGACTCTTAACTGTTCTTGGGTTGAAGGCTCTGAATGGTCCTATAACGGTCTTTTAAAAAAACACTCTAAGATTAGGTGATTTTTAACAGAGTCTAAGAGACTAATCAGCAGGCCCGTAACCAGGATTAAGTAGCAGGAGTGGCAGATACTTTCATTTTCCTAGGTGGGGATTAAAGAAAGAAAGTCGACGAGATTATTATCTAAAATAATTACTGTAAATTTCTATTTACCCATAAAATTATTAATCTACGTTTGTTTCTGAGATACAGGGTGAAAACGAAAAGTTTGACTTTTTGCGATTTTATCATATCTTACTACCCATGTAACATAGAAGAATAAGTAAAAACTGCCCATTTTAGATATTTTTACGCACAATCCACTGACGTAGTAAAAAATTTTTGGACCGCCTTCTCTGAGATTTGAACCAAAGTTGGTATTTTTTAAATGCTACACCCTGTACATCTTGACGTCATTTTTTTTTTGCTTTTTTTCCTGATTAATTGATGTATCACAACCTATATTTTTTAAATAATTATACAATGCGTTCGAGATAACAGGGTCACCTCCATATCTGTTTTATTTGGCAGGATACGAAAAATTTGTCAAATATAATTTTATATGTGACATTACAATCTATCCGATCGCAAATTGAAACTTACGGTTTCACTGACGCTTTGACCGCCAATCAATGCAAATTTTGCGTATCTCGCCAAATAAAAGAGATATTGAGGTGACCCCCTTATCTCGAACATACTGTATATTATATTGTATCATAATTTTCCAAATTTTCTACTGTCAGCCATTTTTATCGATTCGTTTCGGTTGTCTTAGTTACCACGGATACAATAAACAAAAGAAAATCTCCCTGAATCCATGGCCTACTAATAAGAAACAGTAAGAATTATGGATTTTCGGGACTAAATTTAAAAAAATATAGGTTGTGATACATCAATATAATTAAGAAAAAGAATGCAAAAAAAATGACGTTAAGATATGCAGAGTGTTGTAGATAAAAAATCCTAACATTGGGTGAAATCTCAGAAACGGTAATAAAAAAAATGTTTGATTGGTAGTGATGTGGTAACATCCTAAAAAGTTAAACTTTTCGTTTTCACCCTCTATCTCGGAAACAAACATATCCAGATTGATTCGATTATTGTGTACTTTAAATATGTTACTTGTTTGATTTCATTTACAAGGCTCACAAGTCACCCTTTAAGTTCATATAGAAGTATAACCCCTCCGCGTTTAAAAATTACAAGTTTTTTTTCATAAAAATTCACTTTTACATAGCGAGTGGTCTATTGTGGGGAGTGTCATTTTTAAGGTACCTTTGTATTATATACAGAGTTTAATTGTAATTTGTATGTAGTATGTCGAGTGGTGTAGATTTATATTTCATATTGTAACGGAAATGCTCCAGACATGACGTCGCCTTTGGCGCTCTGGAATTTTCTACGCGCGCGATTATTCGAGAATGTACTAGACTTACATTGCTTGCGTGTATAAATGGTTGCGGACCGAACATCGCGGGGGTCTACTATCGAACGAGATCGAGTACGGACGAAACATAGAGCGCGAAAAGCTGATATAAATTTCGAAGTGTGTGATATAAATAATCGATATAAATTGTACGGATTTTATAGTGTTTTAGTTTTGTTTAATAAATATTGATATAAATCGAACCCGAATTTATAAATAACGTTACAATATTTTCTAACGGAACCATTAAAATCGTTAACTATACTTTCCAGAGGGAGCTAGACCAGGTTCGAGGTAAGGCCGAACCCCGCGTGTGATCACCCCCTGAATACGGGCCTGCTTATGAGGTGTATTAAAGGCCTGGCTCTTAAAGATTGTTAAAATCTTAAAAACTTTGTGTAGGCCCTAAAGAAGCTCTTTAAGAATCTTATTAAAGGTGACTTTTAAACAGACCAAGACTCCTAAAGGTTATTCGTAACATACTCGCGATGAAAATTTAATACCTACTTTCCCAAAACTGAATGTATACTTACAATCTAAAAATGAAATTATCTGCTTGGTGTTACATATAAGGTTAAAGGTGGTAGATGGGACCAAAACAAGCACTTTTTCCAAATAAACGGAGAATCCAACGTATTTCGTTTGGGAGCCACCCCCATAAGTGGTGAAAAGTCCATTTCTTCTTTACTTTAAGACATACCACTAGTCTTTGTAACTCTTATGGTTGCTGAGAAAAAAATTAAAGAAGAAATGCAAACTTCACCACTTTTATGAGGGTAACTCCCAAAAAGAATTCCAAAGTAAAAGAAAGAAAGAAGTGGAACAGTTAAGATGACACCATATTATTATACAATGAGTCAATGAAACCACAATCCAATATATTGAAACGAATGGTAAAAAACGATCTGAAAATAAAAGCAATGTTGGGCACGATAGAGAAACAGTAGTTAATATAGAAGTAAGGATAAGAGATCAGATACGATTTGGTGGGCAAAAGAAATCAACAGCAAGGCAAAAAACGACCAAATACAGAAGGAAGAATCTTAAACTTTTGAGGCAAAAGGTATACAGTACAGAGTGTAACATATAAGTCGGTCCACCGTGATTCCTTCGAGAGTTCCCAAAAAATTCTAAAATATTCGATATTTATTCAGCAACCATAGCCCAAAAAAGTATAACGCCCTTTCAAGTTTTTGCCACTCCACACTCTCCTTGAGAATGTTTAAGCAATTGTTAACTTAGTATATCGATTCATCTAATTTCATGTTACACCCAGTATATAAATCCGGCCGAGTTGATAAACTTACCATTCCGTTAGATGTCAGTCCAAGACCAGCCGCACTAAGCGAACTCATGTGGTGGTGATACGAAGCTGTTGGGGGAGGCGCGGGCGGCGGAGGTCCCGAAACGAAGCCCTGGTGGTGACCGCTATGCTGATACCAGTGACTCATGGCGTGGTGCGGATGTAAAGCGGGGTTAAGATGTGGATGTCCTCCGCCCATACCGCCGCCAAAACCACCCCCACCGAAGGCACCTTTACTACTATCTAAAGGTTTCATCATATCACTCATAACGCCACCGAGGGAAAGACACGAGCCGCCACCCTTTTTCTTTTTACTTTTCGACGATAACTTCCTATTCCTCGTTTGGATACCCTCCTTTTTCATCGTCAGGGGCCTATTAACCTGAAACAAAAGCTGAGATTCATAACATTGCACATAAACTCGAGAAAATAATTACGGGCCTTGACAGATAATAAAAGAATCTTGACGTAATAAATTCAAAAGCTGCGCTACTGTAAAGTGAGCATAAATTTATGAAGAGCGCACGCAACTTGAAAACTTCTTTCATTTTTGATTTGTCGGTAACACTTTTTTTTCGTTTCTCTTTAACGCGCCTTACGCTTTATAAATCATAGGGGAAAAGGTAGCTTATATAAACGTCGGCGTAAAATTAGGATTACACACCGATACGTAATGTTCAACCCTCGGGCTAATCGACTTAACTAGAAGAACTATTTTCCAATTAGTATAAATCAACTGGTCTTCGATGACTAGCACTAAAAGCCTGAAATGTTGATTGCCCAACGTAAGACGCTGTTTACTATTCGTAAAGTTTGCGTTCTCCTCCTCTGTACCACCGATTGATGAGAGATACATTTCGATTTAATGACCCGGAAACAAAATCTTCGTTAGCGGAAATCGTCCGGTTCAGAGACCTTCCGCTTTGTCAGCGCTGCGCTGCGAATGTATATCGGAAAACAAGGTCGTTATTTCTTTCTAAAACGAGAAATTGACGCTATCAACGTTTGCCGGATTAGCATTAGCTGCAAAGTTATTCTGTTAATGAGGTAAGCATGCAGCGAGACTGCGGGCTGCATGTATCAAGTCGGTGACAGCTGACTGAGGCAACCGTCGTCGTTTGCCTCGGTGGCTACTACCAGAAGAACCTTTTAATGTGTTGTAACACCAAAATTCACTCAATTCATTAATTTTATATTTCTTAAGGTGTACCTATTATTAACTGTGGCGATAAAGTTGACAGCTGTGAGTAAGAAAAAATTTCACGAATTAAAGTTCAAACCTATTACGCGTATTGTAAAACGTTTTTTTTTGTAGTATACGTCAGGGTCAACGATTGTTCTTAATTTTCATTTTTTTCAAGAGCTTTTGCAACATTAAAATTTTGATCAACTATTCGCTGTGTCATTGCTATTGATGTGAAACGTTTTAGATGTTTTCTCACTGTAGGTAACAGCGTTAGTTATTTTAAGTACACGTACCATTTTTAAAACTTATTTTTTGCGTACGGTAATTACCATTGACGTATAAGCTTAAGCTTATTATAAGTTGCTAAAGAATAAAACAAATCTTTTGCATTTGAGCTTTCTGGATAAACCGTCTTAATGACCGCTCGATTATAATAGCAAAGACGTGGCCACTTAGCGAAACACTAGAAGGTACGCGAGTAAAACATATCATTTCAGTAGGTACACCCGCAACAATAAAGAGTTTTAGGCACCAGTCTCCAAATTCATAGCGATATCTCTAAATGCAGGGGAGTATTCCACAGCCTTAAAAGCACTCAATATGGTTTTCGGGAGAGGACATTAGAATTTTGGTTTCCTGAGTAGTTCTCGTTCTATTCTCCCTGGGATTGTAGTTCTAAGTTCAATGATCATTTCTGCAAAATTATAGTGCAGGGATTAAGAGCCAAAATAGGTTTCAACCTTGCATTTTGTGATAACTTTATGAAACTTTCAGAGGATGTTCTAGACACCCTAAGGTTCAATTTCAGCTATGCCGCCACCCTCGCAACCTCGGACGGCACTTGCTATAGCGGGTTTCTTAAGTGCAAGGTAGCATTTCAATACCCGCCCATAAAATGGGTCAAAAATGTATGTCCAGGGTTTGTTTTGTATTTTCTTACATTTAGGAAGGTTGAAGAGAATTGTCAAATACCCAGGGAGAATTTATTTAGGATATTTTACGTGATTTGCCTATTTTTAAGGCGCTTTTAACAGTGCGGACTAGGGAATGCAATCCCGCAGCAAAATCTCAATCCCGGTATTTGCGGGATCTCGCAAAACTTGAAATAAATTGGCAAATAAGCAATTCTGTGCGGTTAACCTCTGTATTAAAATAAATCGCTAATTATCACAATATGTAACAAAAAAGTACCTTCGGCCTAACTTAGAACTCAAAAACCTTACCTGTAAAGCACAAAAAGTCTTCTAAAGTGGCTCAAAAATCATAGTACATTTTTAACGAAAAAAGTTTAACAATTATTTAAAAAATAATTCGCCGTTATCAATTTCATTAACAAAGTAAACAGAGTCGTCCCCTTGGCCGACAGATTCCTCAGTCCCTCAAATCTCGCGGGATCCCGCTCCATTTATGTACGGGATTAATCTCGCAAAAATGCTGCGGGATCCTCGTATTTCGGGATACCGGTATTGCATTCCCTAGTTTCTAGTCTATAACTTTCTATTGAGAAGTCTGATCGAAAAAGTACGAATTGTTTTGGATTCTACGCACCAAAATTAATAAGAAAAAGTGTTTTCCCGAGAAATTTTGGTGCAGTCGATTTTTGGTAAAAAAGGAAGGTTATACACTGCCTTTTTTTGAGCCCCGAAAAAAAAATTGTCTCAGATCGACCCGGAAAAAAAATTTTCTTATAGAATGTGGCCTGTAGAATCCATAATTTCAAACAGTTCCAAGATTGGGCTACTAGTTCAAAAGTTACAGCCCTTTGAATTTTTTTTCGAAATTGGTTTCTAGTCTATAACTTTTGATTGAGAAGTCTGATTGAAAAAGTACGGATTGATTTGGATTCTACGCACCAAAATTAATAAGAAAAAGTGTTTTCCCGAGAAATTTTGGTGCAGACGATTTTTGGTAAAAAAGGAAGGTTGTACACTGCCTTTTTTTGAGGCCCTCAAAGAAAATTGTCACAGATCGACCAGGAAAAAATTTTTCTTTAGAATGTGGCCTGTAGAATCCATAATTTCAAACAGTTCCAAGATTGGGCTACTAGTTCAAAAGTTACAGCCCTTTGAATTTTTTTTCGAAATTGGTTTCTAGTCTATAACTTTTGATTGAGAAGTCTGATCGAAAAAGTACGAATTGTTTTGGATTCTACGCACCAAAATTAATAAGAAAAAGTGTTTTCCCGAGAAATTTTGGTGCAGTCGATTTTTGGTAAAAAAGGAAGGTTATACACTGCCTTTTTTTGAGGCCCTCAAAGAAAATTGTCACAGATCGACCAGGAAAAAATTTTTCTTTAGAATGTGGCCTGTAGAATCCATAATTTCAAACAGTTCCAAGATTGGGCTACTAGTTCAAAAGTTACAGCCCTTTGAATTTTTTTTCGAAATTGGTTTCTAGTCTATAACTTTTGATTGAGAAGTCTGATCGAAAAAGTACGAATTGTTTTGGATTCTACGCACCAAAATTAATAAGAAAAAGTGTTTTCCCGAGAAATTTTGGTGCAGTCGATTTTTGATAAAAAGGAAGGTTGTACACTGCCTTTTTTTGAGGCCCTCAAAAAAATTGTCTCAGATCGACCCGGAAAAAAAATTTTCTTATAGAATGTGGCCTGTAGAATCCATAATTTCAAACAGTTCCAAGATTGGGCTACTAGTTCAAAAGTTACAGCCCTTTGAATTTTCTTTCGAAATTGGTTTCTAGTCTATAACTTTTGATTGAGAAGTCTGATCGAAAAAGTACGAATTGTTTTGGATTCTACGCACCAAAATTAATAAGAAAAAGTGTTTTCCCGAGAAATTTTGGTGCAGTCGATTTTTGGTAAAAAAGGAAGGTTATACACTGCCTTTTTTTGGGGCCCTCAAAAAAAATTGTCTCGGATCGACACGAAAAAAATTTTTCTTATAGAATGTGGCCTGTAGAATCCATAATTTCAAACAGTTCCAAGATTGGGCTACTAGTTCAAAAGTTACAGCCCTTTGAATTTTCTTTCGAAATTGGTTTCTAGTCTATAACTTTTGATTGAGAAGTCTGATCGAAAAAGTACGAATTGTTTGGATTCTACGCACCAAAATTAATAAGAAAAAGTGTTTTCCCGAGAAATTTTGGTGCAGTCGATTTTTGGTAAAAAAAGAAAGGTTATACACTGCCTTTTTTTGGGGCCCTCAAAAAAAATTGTCTCGGATCGACCCGGAAAAAAATTTTTCTTATAGAATGTGGCCTGTAGAAGCCATAATTTCAAACAGTTTCAAGATTGGGCTACTAGTTCAAAAGTTACAGCCCTCTGAATTTTCTTTCGAAATTGGTTTTTAGTCTATAACTTTTTATTGAGATGGGGGTATGAATATGATAAGTGGTAGTAAACGGTGGCGCGGGGGTGAAGGTTGAAACCAGGGTTGAAACTAAAGGAAACCTTTCGTAAAACGTCCCCCCTGGGTAACTAAATGAACGTGTATTTGAAATTTTTGGTTTTATTAGAATTCCAAATTACAATCGGTGCTTAGTTTTGATTTCCCACGCTCCTTTCTGGTCAACGAGTCCACGCCGAAATGTTAGATCGCACAAGACAGCCTTGGCCATGTTTAATATTAGATTATTTCTCTCCTTCGGCATATTGTTTTATTCAATTCGCATTTAAGACCGTTTACACATAATGCATACAGAATCGAGTGGTGGTTAGGGTCCTTCTTATTCTTTAGAAGCGCACCGGTCAAAATAATCGGGCGGCATTTAGTCTAAGTAAGCAATATTCATGATTCATGACATATTAGCATTACACATGCAGTGTGCGGTCAGTGCACTTTTGCAATGGTCAAACGTGATGGCGGGTACCTCTATTGTAACACCGCGCTCGTCACTTGCGTCTGCTACACGTACGTTTGCATACTTTTCGCAAAAAAACCACAGCATCATCCGCGTTTTTTTTGTCCATTTCTAGGACAATTATTTTTTAGAAAGGATTCAAAAACCTCTCGCGAAATGAAACATATCGACCGACGCATAAAACATCTTATGAAATAAGTGGAGATTATAACAACAATAAATTACCATACAATAGATTGCAATACCTACTCTCGTGGCAAGGGGCCACAACATGCATGTTCAACGGGTTAATTACTCAACAAACGTCAAAATAATACACTATTGCTTTTAAGTATCCTTGTTACGTCATCAGGCCTTTTAAAGTTTCGAGCAGATGTATATTCCATAATGACACTCGAACTACGAAGATAAAATCAAAAACTGGTAGATATTAAAAACAAACAGAGAAACGTAATCTAAACGCTAAATCTGGCAAACTTCCCCGACATTGTTATACAGATCTCTGGTCTATCATTAAATGAACCGACGGAAGAATATCTTAAATGCAGTCCCCATAGTCCTTTAAAAACGATACATTACAAATACAATGTGTAAGAGAGTACGGAATTTTGGGGTGTTTTCTAAACTGTTAGTGACACAATTCAGTGCATCCGATACACGTTTATTGTCTGAGTTTCCTACCCGATTTAGCCATTGTGATCCATCTTGTCCCATTCATTTACTAACGCACAATTTTTGTTTTAGGTAATTTTGGCAATCGCCGTCTGACGGGACAATTTAATCCCTCCTGTATACTGCAATAAAACGGGGACGCCCTAATTGCTGGGGAAGCTCTCCGGTGCCGAAATGGGAGAATAAAGTCGCTGTAATACGCACAGTAAGTACCTAATTAATAAACATTGAGATTTATTTGGGTTTAAATGTGCCTATTCCGAAATGGAATGAGGCGTTTTGGAAACTGTGCCATGTTATGATTATTCTTTCGGTTAGTCAGCGTGATTTCCGAAATCTACAGTAAATTTTAATTAAATTTAAGGTATAAGTCCGAGTCGAAGAATCTTACGAATAACCTTCGTATGTTACCAACAACACCTAAAATACATAGGTGTTGTTGATGTTACACGGAGTATTTTCGCCAAAAAACACATCTGCCTTTTTACCTTTGCAACTCATAATTAATTTCAGTACGAAAAACTGCACTGTATTTCTTTTCGAGTGCCGGTTGCACGCGGCTATATAATACGACGGGTCCTGATGATTTTTTTGGGCTTGACTATAATAATATGTAACAATCGTCTTAAAATTTGTTACAGGGTGTTTCAATTCAAAGTTTGATTTGAAAAAAACTTCACAACGCAAACAGTAAAAGCCGTTTTACATTACACAATAAATGAGCCAAAAAGTTGTATAATTTTTTTAGACAAAAAATGTTGTAGGAAATATGTTGTGTGCGAAGTTTGTCCGTTTGATATACATACAAAATTTATTGTACGTGATCATGCGCAGTTTAATTGTTTGTTATTTTTATTTTCATAATGAGTAGTTTAAAGCAAAAACTTTTAATCACTGTTGCTGTTGTAAGTTCTGTATTACTGGTCAGACAACTTAGACAAAGGCAGTGTAGAAAATTAAAAAAGAAAAACCGTAAAACTTGGCAAGAGAAATGGTTGCAACGAAGAAACGCAGGCAGAGGTGTTTTAAACATGCTCCACTTTAGAAATTGAACGAAACATTGTATGAAAATAGAGCATGTTCTAAATATCTTGAACAATTTGGATATCGCATACAATTTTCCGTTTGATATTACACAATATTTCTAGGCTCAAAAATTGTGCAACTTCTTGTGCAATTTATTGTGTAATGTAAAACGGCTTTAACAAAACCTTCTCAATTATGTTCTTCTATAAAATGCTTGATTGCTCTTAGAAAAGGTTCTGTATCCGCATCATGGAACCAAAAAAGTTTATTGTGTGACACCTTTTTACGAATGTGATACTCTTTTTAAAATGGTTGCATCGGTATTACACAAGAAAGTAAAAAGGGTTTCCTGATCAAAGTCATACACAAGCCAGAAGGTATAACAAGGAATGCTGTTATCCTTTTCGGTTAAACAACTTATAGTTGTTAGCAATATATCTAGAAATGCAAGGTGTAAAATTTATCGATTGACAACACAGGAAGTTATAAACAGAGAATAATTAACTAACTTGACACCTGCTTTTGCATCATTCTCTCCATTCAATTTTTTCTGCCAAAAGTTGTAATATCAGAAATACTGAACCACACTCGCTCCATATATAAAAATTTACGTTTTAAAAATTGTTTTATCATTGGATAACAGAAATGCAGAAATGATTTTTTAGGTTATGTGCACCTTTCTCACTGATTATGTTTTCCTTGCACCATTTTTTGGGTTAAACATTATTGTTAGAATCACAGGATCGCAAGAACGCAGAAGGGATATCACTTTATACAAATTTATCTAACAAAAGGTGGGGCATTAGGAGGGTAAAAACGAATGAAGGTATTACACGTTTTTCCTAAACGCTTCTAAATTATTCTCAAGAGATATTTTTTTAATTTTAAATAATGGTGGTATCAGGATGACAGAAATGCAATTAGATTCTCAATACTACGTTCCGATTTACGTTTAAAAATTGAATCAAAGACTTGCAAAAAGGTAAGAAAATGTTCCCCTTTCTTATACATTATCGTGTACCAAATTATTTATTTAAAAAAAATGTGGACCAGGACCACAGGCGCACGAAAACATAGAGTCCTTCATTTTCCCTATAAGTCATTATACGATCCCGAACAGTCTTAAAATAGTTTATTGTAAGACACTTATACAAATGCTATTTTACAAAACAAACAAAAGAAAAAAAATTTTTAAAATGGCGGTTTCCGAGATTTTGAAATCAACTTCTTTATTTTAAATGGACGCAACATTGGATTTTACGTTGCTACATAGAGAAAAAAATTACAAAACCAGCGATACTAAACACTTCGTATTTCATTTGGGAATCAACCTTATATTTTTGCAGTTTACAATGTATTTTTTATAATAAATAATTCCATGGCTGATTATGATTGAAACCAAATTCGTTCGTTTATTGTCTCGCATAGTCAGCATCGACACGGCCATGGAATTATTGCCATAAGAAATACATTGTAAACTTCGAGGCAAAAATGTAAGGTTGATTCCCAAATGAAATACTAAGTCTTGTAATTATCTTCTCTATAGAGTGACGTAAAAATCCAATATGGCGTCCATTTAAAATAAGGAAGTTGATGTCAATATCTCGGCAACCGCCGTTCTAAAATTTTTTTTCTACGTTCATGGAATTTATCCCATCCAATCTTGCAACTTTTATTTGAAACTTTTTTCCATAGCTCTCTTTGTTACTAAAATATTTTTTAAAAATGGCGATTTTCACTTTTTTTAATTATCTACGAAACGATTGATTTTTTCAAAATATCGCATCGGAATATCCATTAGCACAAAAACTACACAACTTTGCCAAATTAACCGAATCTGTAGGTATAATAATAACAAAGATAGCTTTATCCTACTCAATTTAAGACGCCCTGATGCAACCCTCCCTCCTTAGTCTTTTATTTCAATGTGTCGAACACAGATGAAAAGGAGACCTGCAACTAACGGTGTGCAGACAATTCGCGCCCAGATAATTCGCTCCCTGACAATTCGTTCCCAGGACGATTCGCTCCCAGGATAATTCGCGCGCGGATAACTCGCTCCCAGAACAATTCGTTCCCGGAAAAGTCGCGCCTAGAATACTTCGCTCCCGTAGAACTTTTTTATCTGGCTGTCTGAAAAGAATATTCTGTGTGCGCTTCGCCGGTGATAAGCGCTCATTGTTCGTACTCAATGCGGAATGCTCTCTGAAATTAACTGTTTTTGACTTCTTTTGATTTTGTAAAAAAATCTATTTGATTTAATTTATCAATATTTCATAAACCATTTGATCACAAATTCTCAACATGCATCTTTTCCGAGAGCGATGTCCTGGGAGGGAATTTTCCGGGAACATAAAAATTTGGAAGAAATAATCAAACGCTTGTTCAGGGTTTCGACTAACGCATTTTCAGGTATATTCACAAAAATAGTGACATAATAAGATATTACTTCAGGTTTGTTCAAATACAAATGAATGGCAAAAGTTATAATTCCAGTTATAATTCGAAAAACATTCGTTTGGTACCGAATACGGGTTCATTTATGGTTTTCAAATATTATTTTGTTATCCAATTTGAGGAGTTGAGATCAAGGGTTTTAAAGAAAGATCATGCACAATAATTCATTAGTTTTAGACGTTTGACTGTAACACAACGATTAGAGTATTAATAACGCGTGCCACCTCAGGTTTATATATTCATCACATTAATAATGAGGTAGTTTGTAATTGTAATTGTTCTTGTAGATTTTCGGATTTTTAATAATCAGTTGGCTAGCAAAGTTTGTATACCTATAGGGTTGCGTAGTTTTCGGAATGAGGGAAAACATACAAAACTAAAGCAAAAACACCAATTTAAATCACTATATATTATACTATATATTGAGTATATTATTGTGGTTTATTGGTGTCTTCGCTTTACAAGTTCAACAGCCACAAGTAGTTCCCTTCCTGAGGGAAACCAGTTCGAATATTTGCTAATTCCAACTGATAAATTAAGAAAATTCCTAATTCATATATAGACTTTTAATTTTAATAAAGCAACTAATCATTTGGCTTTGGAATATTTAATTTCTTAGCGATTGAATTTGAATACATGTCAGGAATGCATAAATAACTTGAATTTCTCGCACTAGAATATGATAAATAACATAACTTTAATAGTTTGGGGTGAGATTGTAAACTTTTCCGTACGGTGTAGAAAAACAAACTTTATAAGCTCTCGTCCAATTTTATTACATTGCAATGTATACCTTCGTATAGGTAATTCATTTCTTGTTCAAGAGACTATTCAAAAACAGTAACAGAGAGACGTGAAAAAATAGCATTGAATGCACTTACATTGTGTAATTTATAGTAAAGTCCACAAGCGTTGCAAACTGGTTCCCCGTTCTGGTTGCGCCTCCAAAGGGTTGTAGTTGTCGTTTTGCAGTTGGCACAACTCGTACCCGCCCTTCTTGCCGCACTCTGTAGGCTCTGAAATACAAATAAGAGTTCATCAACATCAAATCATTCTATTCGGGCGAATGATAAACGGGATATTTAGTACTCGTGTCGCGAACGTAAACTCATTGTCAGATTTAATTGGATAGCGATCTTGGCCCGGATAAGAGATGCAGCAGCCAGCAGCCGTAACGGCGTCAGTTGCTTATTCCATTAAAATCCGAAATGCGAATTATGAGTGTTTTGTTCCAAATTTGCCAATGTCACTTTACAATGGATGAGTGGTATGGGCTGAGGAATGTTTGTTATGTGATACCCGACGAATTCTTCGTGAAGAGGCCCAGCGAGGTACCCACTACCAAAGTATTACCCCGCTCCACTGACTTCGCAAACGTAAAGTAATGCATGCCGCCACTCTTCTTCTAAACGACATACTTGAATCTACTCGAAATAAAGTTTCGAATACGTCAAAAAGCTTTCACGGCAACAAAGGACGCGTTTTTTTAAAACGTCAGATCAAACAAACGTGTGTCCATTCATGAGAATCATTCTAGTTAAGTGGTTTATTGTCACAGCGGATAATGTTCAAATTCCCTACCTGCCCTTTTATTCGCCGATATTAATATATTACAGCGTCTTTCTCTCTCCTACAAGCTGACATAAATTTTCTTATAAAACGTATTTCTTAGTCTTCTTAATTATCAATCAGGATTAGCGTCAAAAACCCACCAATACTTTTTCTGCCTCATCTTTCGGATTAACTTTTGTTTAGAGGCTTATACAAATTTATATTTTTATATATACTGCGTGGCCGTTCACGAATTTGGTTAATTTCTGCTCGATTTGGCACGGAAGAAGACGCTAGACAATAGACACGTCAAGTGGATATGACGAGATGACTATTAATAAGCTCGGAAAAAAATGGTATTACAATAAGTTTCAATCCGGATGCGTGTCATGTGATTTTGTAATCCGAAGTGGGAGAGGATTTTGAAAAAAAAAGGTTTCATCGGGAACCGTCTAAGCATTATAGATCTGTATTCCGTTATCTGAATTTGTGGGAATTCTTTACCATTCTTTAGAAATGACAAAGAGGTCCTACGAAGACAACTGAAGTAACGATTTTCTCCTCAGTTTTCAGTGTAAACATAGCGTCAGTGTAGTGCGCAGTACAATAGTTAATAGAAAGAAAGAAAAAATAACAATGAATTGGTTAAACTACTTTAAGAAACAGCTACTTTCGTCTCTAAGAAGAGTGAAGAAAATGTGATTTTCCTCTCTAGTGGAGAAAGTAAAAAACAATTGCTGCGTTAATCTTAAAATTGAAACATACCCGTATCTAGATTGCTATGTGTCAAACTTTATTATTGCATAAGATGATTTTTCAATTTTGATCGTAGTTTCAGAAATAATTATGTGTAAAATTGAGAAGAAAGTGTTTTTCAACTCTCTTCCCTAATTATTGTACAATAACTATTTCAACTATAAAGTAAACCTCTTTCCCTATTTGATCTAGCACTCTCAAGTCTCATGATAGTCTTCCGTAAAATGTTCTTATACCAAGCTCTCGGTGCTACCGTTCTCTACATAAAAATGCGTACTCACACTCCACACGACCGTGGTTTAAGTTCGGAATTTTTTTCTATAAATTTTCATGTGAGTGGTAACGCTACACATTTTCATAGAACCTCCAAAAAGTAGGGGTCGATAACTGTTTTTCTTGCTCTGTGATGGTAGTCTTCGGAAAAAGGCTAATTATCGTATATTGGGGTGGTACCTAATAACCCCTATATGAGTTTAATGATTTTAGTTTAAATATAGTCAAGGTTTGATCAATACTGAAGTTTATTTACCAATTTTGTTTAAATAACGGCCAAACACCCTGCTTCGAAGGGTGGACAGTTAATTCTATAATATTTTATTACTTTTGATTAATAATGAGAGGTAAATTTCCCAATAATTCACTATGCACTGATTTCCAAATAATGAAGGTTATTTAAATCGTGAAAAGAATCGAATTTAAATATCCTTTCAGTTTTTCAGTTAAAAAATAATAACAAATGACTGAAGAACAATTTAAATAAAAATTACTAGTGAGCGGTGCATTCAGATAGCTTAGGATTCTAAGGTCGTGAAATTTTAAATCGTAATTATAGTTGCATTTAAAAAAATTACAACAAATTACTTTAAATGTGGTAGCAGTTCAATGAGAAGCACATTTGTTAACAGTCACTTCAGAACTACGAAATAAATACGAATAATAATGGAACCTAATTAGTGTTAAAGATAATTGATGACTGTCTAAACTAGAATGTGGGCTTACGCAGATTGCATGATAAAAGAATTACAGATTAGTTTAGGTAGAAAGTGCATGTCAAAAGGTTATGGAGACAAAGTAAGGAATAAATTATCATAAACAAAATAAATTATGGCACTGAAATGTTATGATTACGCCATAACCAATACAAACGTCACACTCAAAGTTTAAAAAAAGGATAGGGAAAAAGTTCACACCTCATAATTGATCACTGCCTAGAAAATTATTTCATCTCATCATAAAGCAAGCAATAATGTGCCGATCTGTTCGTCTGTCCATCCAAACAACTCACTCATCACTCATCAGCCTTAGCGAATGGTGTCTAATTGTAATTTTCTTGGAAACAATTGCGTTTGGGTAAAACCTGGAATTTTCCGTTTCCAGTCAAGATTGCCTAGGGAAACTTTCGGGATGTCTACCACTCTCCCTCAGAGTCATTTTACCTAGATTTTTGAGTATCGTTCCGATCTGGTAGAAAGTAGACAGGAATAACCCCCAGGAGCACATTTCAGGACAGAAAAATTCAGCGAATCTCCCTCGAAAACTTGTATTACCCTAAACGCGAGATTCGCCAAATCTTTTTTACCTGGTGGCCTCTTTTACATTGGTATGGAATACCTCCCAGAAGTACCCTCTGCTCCAAAACATTTAAAACCTACAGTAACCTAACGAAAATTCTCTAGAAAAATTCACCGAATCTTTCTTTCACAAGATCTTCATATTCACCAAATCTCCCTTAAACATGATTGTTATAAGTTCTCAATGATTTTGAGGAGAGCGTACTACCGGGGGGGTCTGGGGGGTATGGAATACCCCTCAGGGATACCTTATACGACGGAAAAATTCAGTAGTGGCCCCCAGACCCCCCGGGCTACCTTCTCCTCCAAGTCTTTTAGAACCTAAGATCTTCATATTCACCAAATCTCCCTTAAACATGATTGTTTCAATGATTTTGAGGAGAGCGTACCACCGGGGGGTCCTGGCAGGGATACATATGAGGACATAAAAATTCAGTGACGGTATTTCTTACTTGGGATTGCTGGGGCCACCTTCTTGTCTTCCGTTCTTCTTTGAATCATTCAAACTTCTTCATAGCAGCATATTCTGCAAAATTTCGGTTGCTCTAATTCATCACAATGATACTATCGCACTCTTCAGGTCGGGTTGGTTATCCAATTTAAACAAAAGCATTTACCAGGATATCTTTAATGAACCATTTCTTTCTTTCTTTTAAAGATTGGGTGCTGCGGGGCGCTGGACGCATTTTGCCATTTTTTTTTGTTCTTTGTTCGTTTTTACTAATAAAACGCATTGCGTATACGAATACGGGATGGCAAAACAAACAGCCATGCAAGTAATAGCGTAAAAAATTCCCGCTACCGACCGGTATAAAAATGTGGTCGTTATCGACGTGATCTACACAGATTGGGATCGATCGCATCCATCTTCCCAGTCAATCAACAACTCACGTGTCAATCAGTTTGGACACTTGTTATACCTTGTCTTACACGGCTATTTTATAGACCAGACCTATAGCTAAACGCAGAAGAGGCACATATTTTCCATTGAAACAACCACTACCTCGTTGTTTATACCATCTCGATATATTCAATATAAATATTGAGATCCTTTTTTGGAAACCGGCGACGGCCGGGATGCAAATATACATTCGCGACCGAAATCGGTTTTTCACATTTTCTGTTGACCTACGAGATCGTTACTCTGATATAAAAAAAACACTAAATCAGATAATTATAATATACATAAACAGAGTTAATCAATATTCCGTTAAGAAACATGTTTCGCATCAAATTGAATTCATTTATTTTCTCATAAAAGCTATAGAGGTCTAATTTTCTTTTTATTTATTTATAATCCGATAGAGGAGTCTAATATATTTATTATAATGCATTTGCGGTTACAAAAAGTCTCACTTTCTACAATGCGGTGTGTAATTATAGGCCTTACTTATTAGTTTCACAATTTCGAACGGGCGAAGATGTTTTATCGGTTACAAAAATGACGGTACGAACTATATCGATATTTAATAAGTAAACGCCTACCTATTTGAAATTTGATTTACGATTTGAGACAGGTGAGAGGGGATTTGACCCTAAACCAAGAATGGGTATTTATTTGGGTATTTCACCTGTCCGCGTGTATTGGAATTATAATTTAACTACTTCCGCAGCATATGTCGCCACGTGCGATTTGCTCTCCCTTAATATCTGTAATAGCTTGTGGTCAGTGCAATTATCGCCGATTATTACCAATAATCATCATTATTTAGAAGCATTACGGTTTTATGTGCTCTTGAGGAACTATACCAACATTTACCAAGATTTTTTTAAGTTTTATGTCGTAATTAACTGTAGGGCTTTAGAAACGTGTGTAGCATACTTTATGTAAAGTTGTAGCTAAGCACCTTTCGCTTGAAAAATGATGGAAAATCTGGGAGACTGGGAGTGGTGATATCCCTCTCCATTTGGATGAAATTGAGATTTAAAAATTCTCCCTGAGGCTGACAGGAATCTATGTCCCAAGTTTCACGTTTGTCTCCTCTAAGAGTTATTGCACGGACGGGCGGATAGGTAGTTCGAAAATTCTTGAGCAAAGTAATATCTAGCAAACGGCCACTCTATCTTCTTCTTTTTTATATATAAAATTCTTTTGTACTTGTGTTTGTGACTGAACTCCTCCTAAACGGCTGTGTCTC